TCCCAAATATGGCTTGAAAGGGCTCCACTAAAGCACATTACTGAGAAATGTCAGGCTAAGAACGAAGGGAAGACCCTGAAACATTCTGGAGGCAAATTCCAAGTCATGCACCAAGGATCAGGAGCCAGAGGGCATCAGCTCCTTCAATAGCAACTATGAAGACTAGAATAAAACATGACCCTCCATGCTAGAGGAATAACCACCTCCCACCTGGAATCCTCTATCTAGCAGAAGCCATAGTGTTGGGTAGGCCTCTTCTGTTGGCGGAGCCTCAGGTCGCTAGTTCAGACCCAAGGTCCACATGGTACAAACCACTCATATCTTCATTCATAAGATGCCTCCCCTGGAGTGACTATCTGGACTGAGCCTGGCCAAGGGCAATAAACCCCCATTGCTCCTCCATGGTGACTGCATAGTGAGCAATGTTTGGTGGGGAGTGCAGAAAGAAGGGGGTGTTTGTGCTGTCTATTGTTTCTCTATATCACTTTCTTAAAAAGTGATCTCTCTTTGCTATCTAGCCCTAGAGCTAAGTTGTCCTAAGTTTCTTTTCATCTGACAGGATCCTACTGTACAGATGAGGAAGCTGTGACTCAGAGAAGTCCAGTAACCTGCCCAAGGCCACACAGCCAGGAGAAGGCAGAGTCCGGAGTCGGCACCCATGCCTGTTAACTCCTCCACTTCCCACTGCCCCGTGGCCCCCAGTTGCAACTAGACCTGGCAGGCTCCAGGGCTGACCTCTGACCTCTGGGCGTGTAAGTTCCTCTAGAATACTGCAAGAGGCTCAAACACACCTCTTCTAACCGTTTGCGCTTTTCAGAAGGCTCTGACCCATCGCTGTCATTTCCTGAGTGCTCGTCATCCTCTTCATCCCTGAAGATGTCATCATAGGCAGGAACTTCAAGGTCATCGTCTTGTTTAATGAGTAATCTGATCTAAGTTTAAAACAAAAAGCAATCAAATCTCTCCTTTCTCCTCCACAGAAAACTATCCAGCACAGTGTTTTTCTCCTGCAGGATCTTTTCATTTCCTAATTAGCTGACTTAAGTTTTCTGTACATACAAATAGCCAACTGAGAAGAGTTCTAGACTTCGCAGGCATCTTCTTGTTTTCATTACCACTCAGTAAGGTGCTGAAGTTTTACCACAGGTATGCTGAAATTATGAAAATCTGAAAACAATATTTTGAAAACCATCTACAGCCCACTTAAGTCTGGAAAAACAGCTCCCCTCTTATGCCACACATCAACAAAATATTCTGTTCATTTTTAGGGCTGCTGGTAGTATGGGGATCTGAACCTGTGACCTTGCTATTATAAGGCTGCACTCTAACTGAGCTAACCCACCAGCCCCACACATCAACAAAATGAAGACCCCCAACTTAACCTGTGATAGAGGACATGAAGATATGCAACTCCTAAGTAAATAAAAATCCTGTCTCTAAAAGCAATTCTAGGCTGACTTCTCTTGGAGAAGTTCTTCACATGAAGATTTCGGGACAGAAGATCAAGCCAGAGAATGCTTAGGTGGCTCTTCTATGCTAGGTTGCAGGCTTGCTGCTCAGGGGTTCAAACAATAAGCATGCTAGAGCCATTTTAGGCTACAGGGTTCTGGTCCCTATACCTCCCAGGTCAAAGGAATTCTACAAATGCATTCTGAGCACCTCCAAGGGCTAGGTCCCATGTGTCTCATCAAAGATGGACAACACCAGATTCTTGTGCTCAGGCTGCTCCCGCTTCCACAGGGGAGCCAGACAGATGCCTTGCCAAGAAAGCCAGGTGCAACACTGTATGTGGCATACCAAGATATACACAGAATGCTGAGGGGCAAGCACAGAAGAGGAAAGACCCCAAAGGCCTAGGTACCTGGGTGTCATTGTACACATTCACCACATTGACTGGCCTGTGGGTGTCACACACAAAGAATACAGTGTCTTCATCGGGTTGAAGGATATCCAATAGGTCTACATTAGCTCCACAATTTATGAGAATAAAATAACGACACTGAAAAAAGAAGGAAGATGTTGTAAAGTGACTGCAATGAGGAGGCCCCTTTCCCTTCACCACACTAGGCCTCTGAGTCCTTCTGCTGAGATGGGTTAAGCCCCTGATATGTAGCAAGACCTGGACAGCAACAAGCTCCAAAAATGGCCATGGCTGGCCTTTATCACACTCCATGTTATTTTATTTCCATGACAACACCATGAGGTAGGCCCTGTGGCTCTCCCCACTTTACCAAGGAGCACGCTGAGGCTCAGCAAGCCCAAATCTTGTGCTCATGGTCAAGAAGCTAATGAGGAGCAGATCAAGCCTTCAACATGCTGCTGCGTCTGTCCAGGTCTCCTGTTACTGTGCTGCACTGCCTCTCCACACTGACAGCATTGTACAGGTTTAAATTTTTAGCAAATATTAGGTAGCCCACAGTTTCTGGGCACCAAGTCCTTTACCACATTCTATCACTATAATGAATCCTTTCCTTACAAATACCAAACTGGCACAGGTCCCTGACGGGATGACAGGAACTCCAGGTGAGGATTTACCTCTGCCAAAACAGTCCTAGATGTGGCCAGGGACCCTCTTCCATGTCCCTGATCCACGCTTTGGGGCCCCACAATGTCCTGTTTCTCATTTGGCCCCATGTAGAGGTGGGAGGAGTTCTGGCCTATATTGTTTAAATTCCAAAGGGAGAATATATGTTCCTGGATTTCAAGTTGGAAACTGGGATGCATTTACTTGGAGAGATAACAAAATATTGATGTATTCTAAAATAATTTTAACTAGACCATATTAAAAACTGCTAAATTCCAAGTACCTTACAAGCAAATTTCTGCAAAACAAATTCAAAGTTAGGGGCTGTTCACACTGAGTATCTTTTTTTTTGTTGCCAATTTTGCCTCCACAACTTGAGGATAAGTCACCAGTATGTACAGCATGTTTTCCTCTTCCACATTGTCTATTGTAGTTTATATTTAAATACACACTCAATCTATTGAGGAACTAGAAAGAACACTAAATGTTAAGAAATTGGTTGCCAATTTTGCCTCCACAACTTGAGGATAAGTCACCAGTATGTACAGCATGTTTTCCTCTTCCACATTGTCTATTGTAGTTGATATTTAAATACACACTCAATCTATTGAGGAACTAGAAAGAACACTAAATGTTAAGAAATTGCAATTGGGTAGAAAAGCCTAATTATTCTAAAAAGTATCTTTCGTACCTGTTCTTTATGTTCAAGAAATGCAGTTTCAAGTTCTTGCCACCCAGACACTGGAACCAGCGTGTACTGCACATGGTCACACTGGAATAGAGCCTGGAGAGAGAATGTTCTTAAAGCCTATTTTATTTAAGATGTCTGCAATTTACCTTAAAATGTACCAGAAAAAAACTAGATGGGTTGAGAAAAGAAACACATGTGATGATGTATGATGAGTAAAACGTTATGGGAGAAACTAGGTGGTGAAAATATGCATGTTCACTGTACCATTCTGTCAACTTCGGTGAATTTTTGAAAAGTACCAAAGTAAAACACTGGGGAAAAGCTAATCTTATTTCCAGGTCCCGGGGCTTGACCAAAGCTCAATGTGAACATTGTACCATACTCAATAGGAAACTAACGATATTCCTAATAAACTAGGGGCTCCTGTATTTCCAGCACCGTTTATGACACCAGTGTGCCCTCAGTTGTCACAGATTCCTCTCAGACCCCACATTTGAGGCCACTACAGTTTCAAAGGCCTCCCAAATGCAACAATATTTTGGCTTAGATTGTTGCAAAAATATTAACTAGTCTCCTCGTCTTTTACCTAATCCTTCTCTGACCCATCCGATACTGTCCAGACAGGGAGACGACCTCTCAAGAGTCTCCCTTGTCTCACCTGCTCCTCACCTCCCATCGCTCCCTACCCACCCTGCTCCCTCCTACTCAGTCCTCACCTCTCGCCCCGGCTCCGCCCCCCGAGGGTCCTCAGAGCTCACCTGCAGGATCTTGCAAGCGCACAGAGCGTCCACGTCCGAGGCCACGAAGAGAAGGACCCTCTGGCGGGGAAAGAGCAGGCGGGCTGAGCGCGGTGACCCGAATCCCGGCCCCTCCCCGCATCCCCAGCCACCCACGGCTGCTACTCCTTATTCCTTCCCCCCGACAAGGCCTCGGCCGGGGCCCCGACTGGGAGTCACCTGGCTCTGGACCAGCTCGTAGAAGTCTTTGCGGAAATCCGACACGAACATAGCCACGGCGGCCAGACACCCTGCCCTAGCACTAAGATACCAAGAGCTCCGGCGGCGGTCAAGACTCCCGCCAAGCCGCTGCTCATCCGATTTGCCCAATGGTCATCGATTGGCCCAATGGACACCAACCAATAGCGACTTAGTTCCCAACATTTTCTCATTTCTGATTGGGCCATAGTGGGAGCGGGACACTAGCGTTCCGCCATTCACGGCTGGAAAAGTCCCGCCCGCCCCCAAAGAAGCGTCATCTATGAAGCAGGCCACAAGTTGCCCCCTTCAACTCTTGACTCCCATTTACCCAGAAACCCAACGCTCGGAGGACATCTTTACTTTGGGAAGAGAAGCCTACTGCCTCCCACTGGAAACCCCAGGAAAAATACACTTCTATCCATGAATTAAATTCAGTCATACAACGTATGACAGTGGCAGTTACGTTTTCAATAGGCTCTCGGTCTACTTCGAAGGTGATGTGTAAGTTACTTCCGCCAGAGTCCTCGATGGCTGAAGCAGAGGCCGGAAAAAAAATCCAAGTGCATCCTGGGTAGCGTAGTCAGTGAGGAGAATGGGCCCTACTAAATTCGTCTGGAGGGGAGTACTATCAAAACATAATTTTAAATAACTTTAAAAGTTATCTCTAGACGGAATATAAGTTATCAGACGGTATTTTCGTTTTTATTCTGATGACATTTTAGACCCCAGCGCCTTTGCCTGGCTTTTTCCCTTAGCATCCGACACCTGGGCCTGGCACTCCCCCTCGGGGTTTCAGATCCGGCACTTCCGGTGAGCCTCCCGGGGCGTCCGGGCTTCAGTGAGGCGGCGGCGGCGGCGGCGGCGGCGGCAGTAAAGAGAGCAGTCGGCGGCCTCCTTTCGTAACGTTACTGGGTGAAGCGGCATCTGTGAGGTGGTGTCCATCATGGTAAGCGCGGCCGGGTACGGGTCGGAAGCTGAGGTCTGGGGCCGGAGCCCTAGCTAGGGCCCGACAGGGCGGGACGGCACGGCTGCGGAGATGCCGAGTCACCTCGGGCCTGAGCCATTCCCATCTGGGGCGCTTTGGGCACGAGCCAGACCCTTGACCATGAATCGCTTCTGTTCGTCTCTGCTTGTCCAGGGGGCAGGGTTCTCACTCCTTCTCAGCTGGACTTGGGCTCCTTGAGGGTGAAAAGGAACCTTCTATGTTTGTGTCCACCCATGGGTCTCGCAAGTGCTAGACGCGCAACAGGTGTCCATAAACAAAGTTAACTGGAAGGTTGTTGGGGGTGGGGAGCAGAATCAGGCGCTCCCCAGGGAGAATCCTTAGGGACATTCCCGTGGGCGGGGACACCTAGCTCTTCCCCCAGTTCCGCGAGCTCTGTGCCTGCGGGTTCTCATTCCTTCGGTTGTATGTACCTGCAGTCCTTCATCACACTTTATCTTCTTTAATCCCTGCAATCCCCTTGGAGGCAAGCACGGTTACTGTTTTATTTATGAGAAAATTAAGGTTTCAGAGATAGTTTACGGGAGGTCACAAAAGTGAGTGAAGGTTTAAAGCCAAGTCTGTCTGTCTGCAAAGCTGTCTCATTACCACTGTACAGTATTGCCTCCCTAGATATTGCTCTAAGTGTGTCATTGTCAAATCATATTTCTATTCCCAAGGTCGTCCGCTTAACAGGCACTGAATTCCTGATATGTGCCAGACAGTGTATAAGGCATCCATGTTATGAAGGAAAGTAAGACGTGGGGTCAAAGCAGTAAGGGAGGGGCAGGAGGTCAGGTTCATGGGTGAATTGGAGGCAGGTTTTTTTTGTTTGTTTGTTTGTTTGTTTATTTTTCTTTTTGGAGGCAGGTTGTTAAGGGTGTTGCAAACTTCGTTAGTGTTTTCTTTCGTGTGCAAAGAGAAGAAATGGCTTAGATGGAGTGGCATAGTGAGAGATTCTCAGGGGAGTCCCCCAGTCCTCTGGCTTCTCCATCTAGAACCACTGTTTCATGTGTTTTGCTTCTGGCCAAGATTTAGTTGAACAAAATTTTGCTGCTTAAGAGAAGAAAGAGAGACAAAAGATTGAAAACCACTGCGCTAGAGTTCCAGAGAGTGAAGAACCATCTAAGATTTTAAGCTGAAGCGTGCTGTACTTGTATTTCATGAAAATAACTGATTCAGCGTGCTAATTTTGGAATTGCTAGTAAAGTACTTTGTCAGTAGGTGACTTTCCCTGTACTTAATGTATATTTGGAATCAAGTCAAGAAATAAATATTTGTCTATTATGAGATTTTTTTTAAATTGTGGTGAAAAACACTAACAAGTTTTACCATCTTAACCATTTTTAAATGTGCAGTTCAGCAGTGTTGAGTGTATTCACATTGTTGTGCAATGGGTCTCCAGAACTTTTTCATTTTGCAAAAGTGAAACTCTATTCCTATTAAACGATAACTCTTCATTTCTCCCTCCCCACAGCCCTTAGCAATCACCATTCCACTTTCTGTCTCTATGAATTTGATTACTCTCACTACCTCATATAAGTGGACTTACACAATATAAGTCCTTTTGTGACTAGCTGATTTCATTTAGCATAATGTCATCATATCTGTGGTATATCGTGTAGTAAGATTTCCTTTTTGCGGGGGCTGGCTGGTAACAGGATCCAAACCCGTGACCTTGATATTATAAAGCTGCTCTCTAACCAACTAAGCTCACCAGCCAGCCCTTCCTTCTTAAGACTTAATAATATTCCATTGTATGTATTACCACATTTTGTTTACTTGTCAGTGAACATTTGGGTTTCTTCCATCTTTTGGCTATTGTTAATATGAGTGTGAACACAGGTGTACAAATATCTCTTCGAGATCCTGCTTTCAATGCTTTTGGATAACCCTATCATGAGATTTTATATTCTCTTTTTGAACATCACAGTAATTGCAATACTTTGAGAAGACTCCAAATGGATGTGTAAGATGTTTGCCAAGCTTTTCTTAGTCGACAGTTTAAGAGCTGGGATCTTACCTTTTTTTTTTTTTTTTAAGGATCCGAACCCGGGGCCTTGGTGTTAATCAGCACCGCACTCTCCCGAGTGAGCCACCGGCTGGCCCGGGATCTTACCTTTTTAATGGCACCATGTGTTGGCTTTGCTTATTGACAGGGAGGAGGAAGCACCACGTTATAGCACAACATGTGTGCCTACTCTGCTGTGAGAGCACTGGAAGGGCACTAGCTTGACCCATGGCAGAGCAGGGGAGGCTTCCTGGAGAAAGAAAAGGATGATAATTGGAAGCCAGGGGAACAGGTATAAACACTGGGCACCTGCTCTCCCTGATACCTGGAACGTCTTCCCTGTTTTCAGCCTGGCTCCCTCATGGCATTCAGGTCTCTGTGCAGAGTCCCTTCCTGACCACCTATTTAAAATAGCTTTTCCAGGAACACTCTGTCCCCTTATTCTGCTTCTTGTCTTCAGGACCACCTGACACATATGCATTTTCTTTGGCTTATGTCTTTTCTTGAATGTCAGCTCCACCAGGGCAAAGGTAGTATCTCTTTTGTTGGCGAACAAACATCACTAGAGTGATGTTTCCTTAGTGCTCACATCAGAGCCTGGCAGATAGTAGGCACTCAATAAAGATGTTTTTCAATTAATAAATGTTTTTTAAGTTAATGATAATAGGAAAAGTGTCCCAGGCAGAGGAACTAACCTAGATAGAAGCATGGGAGGTTTAGGAGACTTGTGGGACTGTCAGTAGCAAGTCTCTGTGAGGTATGCAAGAGGTTTAGCCTTGATCCCAAGGATGGAGGGTAGCCCAGAAAGAGGTGAAGGACAGACGTGGCATGGCCAGTTTTATATTTTAGTAAGGTTACACTTTCTAAAAATAGTGGAGACTAGATTTGAGGATGAGTCTGGGAGTGGCAGAAAGGATTTGAGGTTCACTGTGCTATACAGGAAGGCAGAACGCTCATGTTTATCAAGATTTCCGTACATTGAGTTGTTTGAAGATGTTTAGCAACATCAATTACCCTGATGCATTTTGGCTTTTGGCATGAAGAAATGAACCTTTGTTCTAACTTCAGCATTTCTTTCTTCCTTCTAGTTCTCTTTCAACATGTTTGACCACCCGATTCCCCGCGTCTTCCAGAACCGCTTCTCCACGCAGTACCGCTGCTTCTCCGTGTCCATGCTAGCAGGGCCTAATGACAGGTCAGATGTGGAGAAAGGCGGGAAGAGTATGTGCTTGTTTTTATTTTGAATAGTAACCTTTCTTGCCCTAAGTCTGCAATGCTTTTTAGCCTTCAACAGTCCTTACTTGCATGTGGCAACCAGAAGTTAGCAGTACAGTAAAAATGTTTCTCGTCCCAGATTTGCTGATTGGGGGTGGGGTGCTAATTATGATTAGATTAATGGCTGGTGGCCATTCAGTTCCCCAAAAGAAATTCTATCAAGAAAGAGTCTTTATGAAAGATAATTATGAAATTCTGGCTATCCTAAACATACTGTTTAAAACTTTTTTAGGGTAGATAGAAACTGCATACTGCCTTTGAACTGCCCTTTTTATTTAATTATTTTTTAATATCTCTTAAATATTCTTTCCACAGTAATTATGCCACCCTCGGCCCTTGATCAACTCAGTAAGTACTTTTTAAGTGACTGGAAAACTTAGGTAGTGTAAATATGGATACCAGGAATCATCATGAGCTCCTCAGTATATCCAGACACAGGCTTCCTTTGTCACCATCTGGTCTTGAATTGTCCCTGGAGGGCCTATGCTGGGCTGGGAGAACTGGACCAGGAGTGCTTGGGCATGGGGTTGTGCTGTCCGGGCCAGAGCCAGTGAGCACTCAGCTTCACTACTACCCTGGGCACTTCAGGTCCCTCCTCTGTGAAGGGACTCCACTTCCCTCCCTGACCCCACTCCCTCCTAGCTCGTCTCAGGATTCCATCAGGATTAAAGGAAGGTACAAGTAATAACTGCTTTGCACAGTGCCGGGGCAGTTGGCTGGACTCACTAGGTTTTCTCCTACAGGACAGGTGTGCGCTTCAAAGGAGGATGCTGCAAGGCAGATTTCTCATCTCCTCACTGAGCTTCTTTCCTGAGCTTCATATCCACATTTCTAACCACCCCCACCCACCACCCACCGCCCCCTGTACCATTGCATCCTCAGCAAATCAAAATCTGAACTATTATCTTCTGCCCCAGAAATTGCTCCTCTAGCCAGGCTCCTGCCTCTATCAGAAGGGAGAAAGGCCCACAGGTGTGAGAGCAGCCACACTCTTCCTCTCTTTCCCTGGCCCTTTATCCCTTGACAGCAATATGGAAACACCATGCTCCAGTCCCACACCATCTAGACAAAGAAAACCCCAATCATGGACAACCTCAACCACAGATGCAGTCATTGCCTTTCGAGACCTGGAGGTGTTTCCACTGTGGATTCCTTCTGTGTGAGGCAGGAGACTGGAGGCTAGCCAGGGAGGCATGGTGGAGTTATGTGGCGAACAGGCACTGGCTCTGGTGTCACTTGGCCCAGGTTTTGTATCTTGCCCAGCCTGACTAGACTAGTGACTTGGCCTCTCTGAACCTCAGTGTTTTCTTTTTTAAAAAAAAGATGACCAGTAAGGGGATCTTAACCCTCGACTTGGTGTTGTCAGCACCACACTCGCCCAAGTGGGCTAACTGGCCATTTCTATACAGGGATCCAAACCTGTGGCCTTGGTGTTATCAGCACCACACTCTCCCAAGTGAGCCATGGGCTGGCCCCTCAGTGTCTTCTTTAAGTGGGACATTCACAGTGCCTGTGCATCAGAGCTGCTATAGAGAGAGAGAGAGAGAGAGAGAGAGAGAGAGAGTGTGTGTGTGTGTGTGTGTGTGTGTGTGTGTGTGTGTGTGTGTGTGTGTGTGTGTGTGT